AATGAAGTTCCGTGCTGGCACGAAGCTCCCCACCCTGTATGGAAGTGCCCAGGCGATCCCTCAGAGAACCACAGTTGCAGGTAAGCCGCCTGCCCACCTTTAAGCAACCAGGTAATGCGTTGTCAGAGGACAGAGCAAAATCTGGCACTTGTGGCAATATATTTATTACGCTGGGAGGGGGCAAGTCAAGTGGCAGCTTGTCCGCGGCAGAGCCGTCTCGCCTCGCCATCTGTTCCACCCAAGGGGAAGGCTGGAGGTGGGTACTGCTTGCCGAGAAGAACCCAAGGGGACAGCCACTTGCTACTCAATTTTCTGGCTGCAAATCTGTCATTTGGTTTGCAATTCTAAGTATGTGTGTAAAAATAAATACACATAAAACGAGGTCCAGTCCTACAGGGCAAAGGGAGCCACTCCCTTCCTCTCACCAGTACTTTGGAATGTGCCAAGCAACCTGGTTGAGCCCGAGCTCGTATTGCTGCCGAGCCACAAATCCGTCTGGCAAGGGGGCAATTTAAATGAGAGAGTGAGAAAGATGAGGAGCACAGAGCAGCGGCTGTTCTCTCAGTTGAAAGAATATCTGTGATGTGGCTTCTCTACAGAGATTAAAATCTCTTTTGTTCCTTCTGTAGTTATGCATCACCTGCTGCCAAAGGTGTGTGAGCAGTTTGTTTTGTTCTTTCGTGGGGGAACTGGAAAGCAAGGAATAGAAGCTGAAACTCAGAAGCCTTAAAAGTAACCTGGATTGATCGTGGGTTCATTCACCCTTTGCCCTGTGCTTGCATCATTTTGGTCTCATTTTCATGTTCCTCATTCTTTATTTTGGCATGTTTTTATAACTTCTTTCTTAACGACGTCATTTTAAATGTCTTCAGAGCTTTAGCTATTGAGCAGTCTAGAAATGTAGTAAATAAACATGTGATTCCATTTTTTCAAACCATCCTTTTCAAAAGTATAAGTTTTAATGGACTGCCTTTTCAATACTCTTGCTTCTTTTGTTTCTGCTCTGTTGCTTTAAACTACACAGCTTTGTTGGCTTTTCTGCGGATAAGGAGGCTTATATATTTTAATAAGAAATAATGTAGGTACATAGTCAGTAACATGAAGATCAGCATATGCAGGTCTCATGTTCAGGTGTGTGACAAAAGATGGGTACTCACTTTCGTTTTATAACAGAGCCTTCCTTTTGAATATATCTTGAAAGGTATTTGGTGGCATTGGAAGAATATAAATGAAGATAAAGTCATTTTCAGAATAGCTCTTGCCTTTTAGGGGAAAACACTGCAAGAGTTAAAATCTGAGTCAGAAAGTCATAAATGGATTTAGCTAGTCAATGTACAAGTTTCAGGGCAATCTGAAGACTGAGACGGGTGGAGAATTGGCAAAAGGCCTTCACCCCATCCGGTTTTCCTGGGGTGCTTGGGGAGTCCCTTCCTTCATTTCACCCCCAGTGGTATCAAAGCTGCATCCATTTAGTTTGTACTGTGCTACAAACCATCCTTCAGATCCCTGTGGCAAATATGCGGTGTTCTCCTAGTTATCTGAGAGCAAATTAAAATTTAATCTTAACAAATCTGGTGTGTACTTAGGTGTTAGGTAGGGTTAGATGTGGCTGTAGATCAAATACTTGCTCTTGTCAGTACTTCGCAACACAGATCAGATGTTTCAAGTGTTTCACACCTTCACTGCAATACTTAGACAAGCCTCATAATTAAACCAGTAGCTGTATTCCCATGTTGTGCCCGGTGAGTGGAGGAAACATAAACTCAGCTCCACCAAGAGAATTCTTGACTCTTGTGAACCTTTTCAGCACCAGTACAGGTTTACCAGGGAGAAAAATGTATCGGAAAATTTTTCAGTGCACTAAATCAATAGCAATCTGATTTAGCGCATTTAGGAACCTATAAAGTAGCGATACTTCACACTGGAGTCTTTCTCCCTTTCAGCCACGTCTGCGTCTTCACGGGCAGAGGCTCTCTGGAGAGAGGAGGGAGACACAGGTACTTCAGAAAGTTGTCAGTTGCTGCATCCGACCATTGGCCCTTCAGTAGCAAATTATTCAAACCCTCCGAAGTATGCCCGTTACCCCAATTAACTCTGTGGTCTGGAAACCAAATACTTCCGACAGGTGGATTGTTACCTGTGCCACGTTGCAGAGGTTCTGCCTTGTGAACCAGGCATACCCAGTGTGGTCTCATATGCGACTGCAGGGCTGGGGAGGTTTGAGTGCATTTAGTGCAATGTCAGTGTTTCTCTTCTAGGATTTACCTGGGAGTTTTGTGGAGTTCCTGAAAACGCTTTACGGTTGAAGAGCCTGGGCTCTTCCAACCATTTTGGCCTACTGTTCCCATCAGCCCTAGCCTATGTTTGTGAGCCAAAGCATGCTTCGGCGAGCAGGTGGACCGGAGGCACGGGCTGGCTTGCCAGCCACAGCAACCCGGCTGAATAATTAACGGCGTGCATGCTTGCCGTATCACACCACAAGCTGGAGTGGCTCTGCCCCGGTTGTTTGTCATGATGCACACACCAGGACCTCCTTCCTGCCTTCCCCCTAGCAAGCCGGAGAATTAACAAAATAACACACATGGGGTCATTTCTGAAGCTTGTAGGTGGAGATACAAGTCAGAGCTCCTGCTGCACCCCTCTTGACAAACCAGGCAGTGATGAAGACCTTTCCACGCACCGGCTGCTTCAGGAAAATAAGTCTGATTGCTGTGATGCGTGTCCGAGGTCTTTGAAAACTGTTAACGGTTGCCTGAGCATACCTAAAGAGATGTGTCTCTAAATAATGTGATAATTCTATCAGTGCTGGTGGCCCATTCTTATTTTAGTCGTGTTCATTATGCTGCTCATTCATTTTTTATCATGTAACTTTCCTGCAGAAATGTATAGCAGTGCAAAAGTTCTGAAAGAACTTTTTGCTAAAGGAACTTCAGTTCCACCAAATTTTTCACCTCATGTCTCTGAGCGGAAGGGCATATGTCGACTGGGCACAAAGAGATGGTATGCAAACATGTTGGACTTGAATTTGGGGAGGCCGTTGTTCTCTGGCATCTCCAATCAGGCTCATGTCTGGCACCCTGGGGAACTGCTTCGCCTCCGTGTTGGTCAGGTGTGGGCAGAATATAGATCACAGCGCAGAGGTTTGTGCAGGTAGCAGATTGGCAAAGAGGTCCAGCTCCCAGTTCTTCAGCAACAGCAGCAGCTCCCCTAAATTATATTGCTGAATTAAGGAATACTTTAGTTAGCAAGGGATGATTTCTGTGTGCCCTCCACTCAGTTGTTATGTTCAAAACAGATTCCTGAACGTACAATTCTTAAATTCTCTGTGTGTGCCTTTTGCACCTCTCTCCAGTTGGTGGATCTTGTGGTTGTCACAAGCCTGAACTCTGCCCACCATCAGCTTCACCACGCTAAGCTCTGCGGACAAACTGTCCAGCTTGACATCAAGTTTGCGGTCGCTTCCGCATAGCCTGAACTGCCTGTCCGGCCTAATTTTGAAAACTAGCAGAGTCAGGCCTGGTTGAAATCTGGATGGGGGTCTCAAAATGCTGTGAACCACCCAAAGAGCTTTGGCTATGGGAAGTATAGAAACGTAATGTAGGAAAAGGGCGGGGGAGGGAAGAGCTGCTTCAGATGACCAGTGTATCCTAGCTGCTTTCCCCACTAAGCTGTCCTTTTCACCAGATCCTGTCACTATGTCTCAGCCCACATGACTTCAAACGATTGTGAGATTCAGCTGAACAGGGGAAGAGCCAGGTTCTGCCAAAGCATCTTTCCCTTCTCGAGAAGGACCCCCCCCCCCACTAGGAGAGGCGCAACTGGTCAAGAGGGTCCGTGGTTGTTAATGTCCCTCAGCCATGGGGGTTTCTGTGCCTGCCCCCTCACTTCCCTTCTAATGACCGGTAAAGGCTCCCTCCCCCACCCAAGAAGCTGTGACTTGCCCGATTCCTGAGCTTTGCAGAACTGACCCTGAGTTCAGTGGTTGGCTTTGTCATGTTTGTTTTCAAATAATCTTAAGTGACCCTGAGCGTTGCTGCTACAATAGAATGGCAAGGTATAAATATCTTGAAAACATAAACAAGTGGTCAGAAAAAAATAGATCAGTAACTGTATCTGTGGAAGTTGAGGGGGCAGGAAGCTGTTGGAAATTTTCTGGATGTTTCTGCTGAGAATTTAATAGCTGGTATTGGTAGGAGGGTCTTTTTGGAGCTGCTGCTCTGTTAGTGGAATTACTTTCATGCAGCAGGCAAAGAGACACAAATATTTTAGAAATGTTTTGTTTTCTACTGGCATTGATTCTCTCCGGAGTTCAGTTCTGCTTTGTTTTTCTTTTGCTTATTTTGAAAATCATTATTTTGTCCACTGGCTTGCAGAGATTGAGTTCATGTTCTTGAGCCACTTTGCTCACTGTTTTAATAAAAGAGCGAATGAGCGAGATTTAAAATTAAAAGGCAAGATTTCCTTTCCTTTCCTTTCCTTTCCTTTCCTTTCCTTTCCTTTCCTTTCCTTGGGAATCAACGTAGTTGCTCCGTCTGTGTTGATTATATTTGCCTCCTTGTCGAACAAGATGTCAATCCAGAAGTTCTAAAAATAAATACAAACCAGGTTGTTGTTCTCCCGCCCCCATCTGTAGTCTAGTTAAAGCTCCTCTGAGTTTTAATGAATCTGCAAGTCATTCTATCGCACCAGATGAATACGGTCCTCCTTCCAGCAGAGGGGTTTGGCACAACCTGGTTCTTCTTCCTTCCGTCCTTTCTTCCTGCTCCCTCCCACTTCTCTTTCTGTGACGCTGCAGTACAGCAGAATCGGCTTGCACAAGCCGTGAAGGGTTAAAGAGTCCTTCCTGTTTGGCCAAGTAGGCAGTTGGGAAATCTGCTCTTAGCGCAGAGTACAGCTGTTTGTGAGCTCCACGCCCTCTGGCCCGGAGCCTGCTTCTCTCCCTCTTGTGTTAACAACCTTCTGTTTGATTGGTGTCCTGTTGGTCTCTCTTATTTCTTCAGCCAATTGAGCCTGGCGAAGAGCTTCTGGTGTGGTACAATGGAGAAGACAACCCAGAGATAGCCGCTGCAATTGAGGAAGAGCGAGCCAGCAATCGGAGCAAGAGGAACTCTCCGAAAGCCAAGAAAGGTAAGCCCGCCAGCCTCCCTGCCCGCTGTCCCAGTGCCTCTCTCCATCTCCGAGGAAGAATCCGGGGAGAGGAGCGTCTCAGGAAGTGCGTGATGAAAGGCAGAAACTTTCTTCTCTGCCTTCCACCAGCTCCTGCCTGCGGGATTAAGAATCCCTCTAAGACTTTCTCAGTGAGGGGTGTCTCTTGCCAGCAAGTGCGTCTGTGACCTTTTTCCAGGCTCCGCTGCCTGCCCGCTGAGCTCACGCCGTTTCCAGGCTTCCAGCTAGAGGGTTTTTTCCCTCTCTCTTTCCCCACCCCTGCCGCCGCCCCTTCCCTTAAAGGAGGACAGCAACTTCAGTGCCTCGGACAGTGAGATCATATATCCGATGTGCCCTTCGTTTTGAAACAGCAAGTTAGCTAGAACTTTGAGAAGAAACAACATGCCGGTTACTTAAGTTGTTTCAGGGGTTTTAATCGTCACTGTTTCTCACAGCAATTCTTTTCTTTCAAGCACATTATTTGTTTTTTATGCGTTGACATATGCTCTCTGGCCTTGTCTTTCAGCAGACACTCTTTACAAAGGATGCACTGTTTTTAACTTTTGGGATCAAGTTTTTCTGAAAGCCTGCAACACTTATGGTTGCTACGCAAAAGTATTTACCATGAATCCCCTGCAGTGTTACTTGTCACCAGGCCAGGTAGCAAATGACATCTTAATACGTGGAAAAGTCTGAATTGTGCATTTGTGCAGGTTATGCTTAGTTTTTTTTTTTCCAGTTGGGGTTGAAATTTGGGTGATGACTCATCAAGGCATTTATTCCTCCTTCGTAGCAGGACTGTGCAACACTGCCTTGAGAAAACTAGGCCTGTGTCTTTAATTTCAAATTTCTTGCTATGGGTGGGGTTGCTTTTGAAATTACTAAGAAGGAAGTGGGTCTGCAGAATCTTCAGGTATTGTGAAGATAAAAATCAGTCTGTACTTAGGGAAGTGAAAAATTAGATGTCCTTGTATTTGAATATTAAGGACATTTGGGTTCATAATGGATTGAAGTAATGTTTCAGATGGAAACAAAATTAGGGCAAGTGAGAAGGAAGACGCCCCAGGGCTTTGCTTTTTGGGCTTCTATTTGGTTTTGAGGACAGTAAAGGAATTATTTCATAATTCTTGCATGAAATATGTCACGGCTCTGTTATTTAAAACACAGTTTTGCAAAATATTTAAAATATAAGTGTTCTTGTTCTATATAACAACCAGCCTTTTGTGAAGGGATATTTTGAGTCAGAACATTTGGCTCAGAGCTATAGTTCCAACAATGACAGGAGCAGCAAGATATTTATATATATTTAAATGTGCTGTGTTTATTTTTTCTTTTCATAAAACACACATCTAGGTTGTAGATGGAAAGAATCCTGAAAAAACAGAAAGCTGGCCCCTTTCCTCCCTTTTTCAAGCATGGAGTCCACATTTAAGAAGCAAAACTTTTTATAGTGGCTGCCATCCAGGCCATGTTAGTTCTTGCAGGAGGGCTAGGCAGAATCCAAGCAAAGAGGCCGGTGAATCATAGAAAAGTCTCGGAGCAAAAAGAGAGGCTGCAGTCTCATGCAGGCTGACTTGTACCAAGTCCCACTAAAATGGCACTTGCTATGCAGGAGCATCACCCCACATTTCGGGTGACTGGGCAGCTGCACAACTAGGACCTGTGGATGCTGTCTCACCAGGATTGTCTAGGCAGAACTGGGCAAGATAATAATTATAACTGCTGCGCCTTTCTTTCTGAGTGTTTAGACAAGTGGAACATACTGAAATGGGTGTTAGCTTCCGAGTGGTTGCTATGAGGAGTTTCCAGTAAAGCCTGAAACTCATTGCAATTTTCTGGCAGTGTTTCTAAGACAAAAGTACCTTTGGGTCCACCATGTTTGTTTGCCTAGGAAGCACCCAAAGCTTCTACGTGTGTGCAAAACTCAGAACAGGCACAGGCCCTGCTACATCCAGACATACCCTCTAAAGGCAAAGGCAAGGCACATGCCAGAGGGAAAGAGCATCAGTCCAGAAAAGCCAGGATGAATAATCTCCCACATCTAGTCTGGTTCTGGTGCCCAGTTCTCTTCATCCAAGCCATTGGGCCCGGCATCTGTCAGGCTCTGTGGGGGTCTTGGGCACTCTGATAAGGTCTGAGGGGTACCTGGGAGTCACCATTTACATGGAGACTGCAAGCAGCAGTTCTAGTACTGGGGAGGAACCGATGACCAGTGTTGATCCCAAATGAACGGATGCAGGACTCGCCCTCTGATGCAGTCAGCCGGGATGCTGTCCTCACGGCCACACAGTCTGGAAATGATTCCACTGCATCTCTCTCTCTTCTTCCTCTTCCTAAATTGCAGATAATGTTGTTGTTATCAAACTGATAAAAGGGCAAAGGTATAGCATGAGGTGCAGCTCACCTGAAATGCCGCAGTCCAGAAAAGAAAGTAAGTGGGACAGATGATAATGTGGAAGTGGCCAGGGAGCAGATGTGATAGAAGAAGATACGAAGGCCCCACCAACTCCCTGTACCTATGAAAGCCATCCTGTCAGAATGACGAGGGTAGACGGGATCTGTTGGGAAGGTCTGTTGAGGGTGAAGTGCTTTCTGCTGCCACTCTGAATAACCACAAGTAACCTGTTAATTTCTCCAGGAAAGCCAGATGGCCAGTTCCTTTGGTGATGGCAGATGATCGAACAAATTGGTATTTCAGCATCATTGGTGAGCTGGGCCCATGATCACTTCCTGCCTCACTGAAGGATCAGCATCAGCTCTTTTGCGGGCAGTGGCGGGATCCACGCAACTCGCCGGGGTCTGCATTCCTGCCCTTCAGCTGCCGTGTAGGAAACGCGCAGCTTGCAAAGGGGCCGGGGACCTCTCAGAACCGGGGTTGTGCAGCGGCAAGAGGTAAATAACGTCACACACGATTTGTGTGAGGTTGCTGCAGCCACTGGATAGTTGCTGATCTTGCTGCTGCCACGGTTTCTTCCTTGTCCTGCTTTTCTTTGTAGGATCTGAGTGGAAACAGCCTGCCGAATAAAGATCTCTCCGTGGTTCATTTGATCGGCAGAAATGGCCTTCCAACATTCGTTAGAGAAGTGGATGCAGGGGCTGGGGATAATCAAATCCCTTCCCTCCCCGAACTTCAGATGCATTATTCGTATGCTTGGCATATTTGCATCTTGCCTCTTGGAAAGGTGTTTCCAAGGCAGTGTATTGATGAAAACAAGCATAGAAAAACAAGGCCGGAGGACTCGAACCTCTGTGGCAGCAGCACAGTCTAGTTAGATCACAAATCTAACAGAAGTGTAATTTCTTAGCAACGAGTGAAATCACATCCTGAGTTAAAATGCTCGGAGTGAGGAAGGAGTGCTTGACCTGGTGCTTTCCTCGGATGGGGTGCAGCGGGGCAGAGGGGGAACTTAATTTTAAATTCGAGCGTGACTGTGAGTGATCGTATACAGATTTCACCAACCCACAAAAGTTAAAAGTAGATACAGAAAGATTATTTTTTCTCTGCAGTTGTTTTCAGAAGAACATTAAGATATTGGGCAGCTAACATCTTACCAAAGAACAGTCCTGTAGTTTTTGCATAATGTAGAAGGGAGTGGATTGGAAGAGCCCGATGGCCTCACCCTCATATTTTTTTGCAAGCCATTGTTAACTTCAGCACCATTGCTTCCAGTGGAGTTTCAGTCTCAGTCCTCTTGCCCATGATTTCTTAGGTGTAAGTCTCATTGAGTTCAGTAGGGCTTACTCTCAAGTAAAATTTATTTATTTATTTATTTATAGTTTTTCTATCCCGTCCGCTACCGATGTAAATGCATGGAATTAGTTATCAGTTACCACAGTACTATTGAACTTTGGAAAGTTTTAAATTGGATTCAAGGTGGGCCAAAAATGCAGTCATTGGAGCACCTTGGCAGCCCTGCTGGAGGACAGGATAGACGCAGAACAAGGCATCTGCGAGCATCATGAACAAAACAATTGGGTGCATGGAGATTAAGGGATGGACAACCAACTTGTACTCAAAAGAACTTCAGAAAATAGAAGGCAAATTACAGTATGGCCAGACATTGCAAGAATGACGTTTTCAGAAGCTTCATGTGGTGGATTCCACCCCGCATGCTGAGGTTCTTCTTTACCGGATACGCTTTCAGGGGCAGAATTCAATCCTCCCAAGTCCACTGATCTTCCCATGCCTGTCAGAAATGTTGCAGGCTGGAAGGCGGTGAGACATTGGAGTGTCTTGTTTTCCCATCTTCCAGCCAGCATTGGTAGCACAACCCAGGACTGGTCGGGGGAGATGGAAAAGCCACACAACCCTGTTCCTTGTCTGCTTCTCTCTCTCCTTTGAAACTATGCAGCTTATTTATTTTTAATACATTTAAAAAGCTGGAGCGACACATCCATTCTGTCCTTCTTCCGAAATCTGGCTGCTTGACTCAAACGCAGCGGTGGTACCAAAGGCAAACTGGAATCTCAGATCAACTGCAGAGTCAAATCGAGGACATGCATTTATTTATCTGAGGGAAACGTCGTGCAGTCCTTATCCCCTCAGAATAACCACAGCCATGGGCCGCACCCTCACGAGCTTCTCTGTGTCTTTACGGCCAAACTCTGATCTTGTTCTCTTTCAAAGCCCACAATGCAACCTTCTCAGTTGTCCTTTCGTTGTTTCTTCCGCAACAATATTCCTGCACCCTCAGACTGGCCTGGCTCTTGCGAAGGTTGCAGGCAGCATCTGGGCTTCGAGCCCTTCAGACCACAGGGAGAGGCTCATAAAATAGCCTTCATACAAACATGGCCTTGCATGTAGAAAGCTCGTGTGTTGAGGGAAGGGTGCTAGCCTAGTCTCCTCCTCGACGTGCTGACTGTCCCATGTTCGGGGATCTTTTTCTTTTCCATGCATGGTGTGATGAAGGCGAATAAATGTTTTCTCTCCCTTTCCAAATGTACTGGATCTTGGGGTTATTCAAGCAAACTGGTTGGCATTC